TTAAGGATACCAACTTTTAACATTTATTTATTTAATAATGATAATTTTCAACATTCCAGTTAAAAAATTCGTTTGCCACATTAACATCACTATCCAATTAATCCTTAACTAAAAAAATTAAAAGTTGATATTCTTAAATTAAAAAAAAAATAAAAGTTAATATTTTTATTTAAAAATTGACAAAATTAATATCGTTAAATAAAAAATATATAAAATTAATATCCTTATTTACCCATTTTCTCGAAAAAAGATAGATGAGAAAGAACGAAGTGGAAAATTTTAACTCTATCCTTCTTATTACTCTTTTAGATATATGGTATGTTTAAATTGGGGGAATAGAGAAAAGGAAAAAAAATCTCTATTTAATTATAAAAAAAAATTAGAGAAAAGGAGAAGGAAAAAATTTCCTTTACTTTTTTTGAAATTTGATTATTTATTTAAATGGAAAAAAGAAAAAAAAGATAGGAGTCCACTCCCCTCCACTCAAACGTCAAATTAAGTAAAAATATCTTCTTTTTTTTTTTTACTGAAGTTATTCCACTCACATGGTTATTAGATTGGCAAAAACTCTTTTTAAGCCCCTCAACTTTTTCGACAGCCAGTCACAAGTTCCCAAACTAAAAATATAGCAAATAATCCTTCCAACGTGCAAATCAGCCGCTTTACGCAACCCTGTTTGTTATTGTTGCGTGGCATTGCACTTGCACGCCTTTTACATAGTTTTTTTTTTTTCCTTTACTTCATTTGTTTTTAGTAATAATATATTTTTTTAATTAACCTTATAAAAAAGCTAAGATGTCTTAATATAAAAATTATTAAAATATCTAATTATAATCATTAAAAACATAAAATATAATATAAATTTTAATTTTATTATATTTATTATATAATTATTATTAGATATTAAATATCAAAACGTTCTTTTCCTATCCTTATTTATCAAGCATAGACTATTTACTTTATTTGGGTATTAAAAAGTTCTTATCACTGATTAGTCAGCCATTTTTTATTTTAAAATATATAACAATACATTTAAAGAAAAATTTCTGACACAGGCGCTGCCACCGTTTTAACGTAATCTGGAAGTCATACACTTCTATTTCTCCTTCTTTCACCTCTGAACCAACTGTCCAGGTGATCGCCATTCCCATTCCTTCCATGGAATTTGCAAGGAGAACACTAATGGCAGCAACATTTTGACAACAACAGACCATGACGACTCTCTTCTGTTTCTGCAACCTCTTTCCCTCTCTGTAATCCACTTTTTCGTAGATCGTTTCGTTGCTCAAATGGATTCCTTAGCCATTGGGACTCAATTTTCACCTCCACGTTAACTCAAAATCATCTCTTCCTCTCCTAAACCCTTCCCTCGGTGTGCCATTTGCCAAGTTATGGTTCTCCTTTTTGTAGAATTACAGTCCCAAGATTGGTTGGCAATGGAGTTGTGGTTAGACCTGAAGATAAGGTAAAGGGCTCTTCTTCTCCCCTTTCTGTCCAAGAACCAGCACAACCCAACAAACAAAAACAGCTCTAGGTTCTTTACTTTATATAGCTTATTTTTTGTTTAAGATTCAAATTTGGAGTGCCCATTTATTTCTTTGGTAAATTTATGATTTTGAGGAGGTATTTGGCTTAAGTTTGTTTCTTTTGAATCACCTTGTTTGTGGCCAATGAGTAGTTTACCTTTAAGGGGTATCAAATTTACTACTTGTGCTAGTTCAGATTTACCGTACAGAGCACCTTGTTTGCTTCTTGTGCTTGTGCTAATGCTAGACTATACAATTCAAGATTTTTTCTTGAGGGTTGGTTGATGAAAGGTTAAAATTTTGATAAGCTCTGAAGCAATAGGATACTTGTGCAGGTCTTGCTAGTCAATTTGACATTTTTTTGAGGTTTGGAGTGGATTTCTCTTTGCAAAATACAATGAAGAATGAACAATTTATTTTTGTAGACTGTATATCTATTAACATGCTAAAGTGTATGATATTCCAACTGAAATTAGGTTTGATTTGTGTAGACATTTAGTGCAGATTTGAGACTATTTTCTGGTGAAATGTAAACAGTTTTGCTGATTCAGGTCTTGGCAGTAAGGATTTTGCCTTTTAAGTCACTGGTTAATGGCTCGTTTTATTTCATACAGGATGGCTAACCAACACAAACTTAGAGTCAACTTCCAAATAATGGAAACTTGAAAATTGGTTCTAGCTGATTCTTAGAATGTCATTTCAAGTGTATAAAGCCCTTCTATGTCAGAATTAGCTTTTTGGTGCCAATCCTGGTGGTGTTTGTTAAGCAATCAAGATTGCTAGAGTATCTTCTAGTCTTCTTTTCTATTTTTCAGGTTCTCAAACATCATGCTGATCCTTTCTCATATCAACAGGAGCTCACTTCACCATCTGGGTTGTGTGATCCTTTATGTTCAGTTGATGAAGCATGCTCATGTGATATTGAGGACAAGTACAACCCAAGGACTGTTTTATTGAAAGCCCTTGCAGTTTTTGCAGCAGCAGCAACGATGACTCTGGCAATTAATCAATCCTGGGTTGCTGCCAATCAGGTTTGTATGTGATCCTTCTGTTGTGTGATTCTTTCTTATGCTGGTTTCTTTTTGCCAAGAATTTCCTTGTGTAATCCAAATCATGTATGTATAAGCACTGTTTTACCTTTATTTTATTTATTTTTTGAAAGTTAAAAGAAACTTTATTGTAATAGTTAGTTTAGATGCTGTAAAACTAACTTGCAGTACCTTTTTTGTTTGTTGCTAAATCTTGGAATGCAGGATCTTGCCATGGCATTGCTTTTTGGAATAGGATATGCAGGTATAATCTTTGAGGAGTCACTAGCCTTCAACAAAAGTGGAGTAGGATTATTGATGGCAGTGAGTTTATGGGTAGTTCGAAGCATTGGGGTAAGAAAAGTTCTTTGATGGCTGACATTATTTCCATTTCTTAACATTATAGTTTTTGCACCATGAATTATCTGATTCGCAAGAAGTTAGTATGAATATATCAAAGCTCATTTTGTGTATCAGACTCCTCATATAAGCACTGTATGTTTAGATTCTTAATGATTCAACATAATTGCTTGCATATGGATCATGACTTACACCTTAAAATTTTGGGCCTCTCTATCACTCTCTTATGGCAATATATTCATATTGAGCAGCATTCTCTGTCTGAGCATAACTGAGGTGCAAAGCATATGGGTCTAAATCTAGTTCCTGGTCTTTGTTACATTTGCATGGTGACTAATAATTTGGGCTTTCTCTGTATTACCCATTTGCACGGCTTTATGGTTAACGACATTTATATCTTAAAGTAGGGAAAATAAGAAAAAACAACTCTGATTTACTGTGAATAAAAGACCATCCTTAAGTTTAAAGGGATATGCTTAATGTTAATCAGCCAATTGTTTCTATTTTTTGTTTGAGCCTAAGTCCATTCCTGAAAAAATGTCTTATTGGTCTTTCATATGTGTGGAAAAGAAAAAACAAATGCGTTAGTGCTCCTTAAATGAAACAGACAATAAGAAAGGGCAGTCAAGTGTAAGTTATTAAACTTCAGCAGCATCCTTTTATATCCTTAATAAGTTTCCCTTTAATCTATTTTTAATCATCCAAAGGTGTATTGCAAACAAATACTTGCCCTCTCATCCCTTTTTTGGAATTTCTGTTGGTTTAGTTATTACAATGGATTTTGTTCAATCTACATTTCATAAAGTTTCTCCTTTGATATAAATGCCCAAAAATTCCATTTATGTTGGTGTATTGCAAACAAATTCCATTTTGCGCCCACATGCTATTGTACTAATTTTTGGGCCATTTGACTTTTTTCTCATTTATAGGCTTCCTCAACTGAAATTGCTGTTTCAGAGCTGACACGTGCATCTGCAGAAGTCAGTGAAATAGTGTTTTTCTTGCTTGGTGCAATGACCATAGTAGAGATCATTGATGCTCATCAAGGATTTAAGCTGGTTACTGACAATATAACCACTCGGAAACCACGTACTCTACTTTGGGTGGTGAGTTGTCTTTTTGTTTGCAGGCCATATTTACATTATTCTCACAGGCTATGTGTATTAATTTTGTTATTAGCATAAATCAACGTGGTGAATCAAGCCAGTGTAATGCTGCAGTCCATTGTTTTACCTATCTGCAGCTAATTTTTTGTGATTGTTGAAAACCAAAGATGTTGGAGATTTCAATAGATAGATTAAAATCACCTTATATAACTCGTTTCCAAATTTTTTTACACTCAGGAAAACCTTGAAGGTAAGCTCTATTTACATGAAGCACCCCAAATGACACATTGTTTCTTGAGTGTAGGCCCCTAGCCTAGGAATTTTATACAGTGTCTGAGTTTAAAATTCACTTTAGTTTGTGCCTGTAAACCTGGGCTGAAGCCATGCACTGTCCAACATAAATTTACCAGTTAAAGAAGCCCTGAACTCGTATATTATATTTGCATTAGTGTGAGGATCAATCAAAATTATTTTTGGCTAAAGTTGATTCTAGATGAAATGTTACACATTCCTAAACAAACACTTTTTATGGTCACTTGTGCTTATGCATGACTTTGCTACTTTAATATGTAATTTATGCATTATGTAGCTTCATATGTATTTATGTATGTAATAAGTGCATACAGACAAAGGGTCATGATCAAATTGATTTTCCTGCAAGGCCTGACTTATCTTCATGTGGTCTTACCCTTTGTCTAGTTCACGTAACATGGGCCTACTAAATAAAATCAAAGTATGAAACGACGTAAAAGGTCATTTATTTCTCAATTCTATCTTTTTAGTTCTTTCTGCTCTCTTTTTTCTTCTCCTTTGAAGGTTCTGTTTAATTTCCATTTCTTTTCAAAATTTGAGATAACCTGCCAGCTTTATCCTGTTGGTGTAACATTAATCTTTCTTTATTTTTGGTCAGTGTAAATATTAATCAATCAATGGTGTTTCTACAGGTTGGTTTTGTGACTTTTTTGCTTAGTTCCATCCTTGACAACATGACAACAACAATAGTCATGGTTTCTTTGTTGAGGAAACTAGTGCCTCCATCTGAATACCGCAAGTATGTTCTCAAACAGAGTTAAATTTGATCATTGCAGAATATTAGCTATTGTTACCTTAAAATTCCTAGTTTACTATAGTAAGTACCATACACTATGATATCTGACTTATGTGTTTGTCTAAAGCTATATTTGTGGTTTTCATTATCATTTTGAGATTTAGAAGACTAAACCTCTTTTGGTGATGATAATTAGAATAGTTTTCATTAATATTCCTGGTGCTTTATTTAATATGCATGCTAGTGTAGCAACTACTTTCTTGATATTCATGCATCTTCAGTGACAATCATCTTGCTCTTTTTCTACTTTACCATTCAGTAATGTGATCACATTTAACTTCGTTGTATGAGATTGGAGTCATAAGAATGATATGCTGCAAGACATCAATCTTATTACTTGTTGACTGCACCTTAGTTTCAGTATTCATGACTCACTTTTCTCTCTTTTAATGAAAACTTAAAAAAAAATTAAAAATAATAAAAATAATAAAAATAAAAATTCTGTCCGAAGAACATGATATGAATACAACAAGAAAGCAATGTGGAAGTAAATACTCATTGAAGTATATGAGAAACGAGAATCTCAGTTGTGAGTAAGATTAATTCCTAATTAGATCATGATTTCAAAATTATGAAAATATGACTTAAGTTTAGTCATCAATCTGTGAATTAAACTAGAGAATGCCTTTGTTCCAAAGATGCTACATCAGTCGAGGCAAAATAACTGTGGTTGCAAGGAATAGTTTGTGTTCTGTTTAAACTGCTTCAGGGCTGCATGTTGTCATACAATCTATTTGACATGCAGTCAAATGTTTGGTAGATCTCTAAGTTGCTATTTCTGAAATCAATAGGCTGGTGAAGTCCCACTTAGTTATTTGGATTGTTTTTAAAGGATTCTAGGAGCTGTCGTTGTGATAGCAGCAAATGCAGGTGGTGCTTGGACTCCAATTGGCGATGTAACCACTACCATGCTATGGATACATGGTCAGATATCTACATTGCCAACAATGAAGGTATTTTGATAATTCTGAAAACTGAGCTTTAAAAGATCAATTTGCTTTCATACAGGCTTTTATGTTTCCCCTGATATTTATTAGTTGGAACTTTATGGGTGGTACATTGAGTAATGCAAGATAGTATTGTTTTACTTCTACTTTCCATGTTTATAATGCATACTGAATTTAACCAAAGATTTTGTTAACTAAGACATCCACTTAAGGTTTTGCACCTACATGGTTTGGAAACCATCCCCCATGCATGCACACGGTCCTTGTTTGTAGATATGTGCAGTAGCTACCAAGAAGCAAGACTTAAGGATGCTCTGATGTGTGTTAATTTTGGGAAAAGGAAGGTTCACTGGCAGGATGTCACTGCATTATAGATTATTGGCCCAGTTATTAATTGCTCCAAGTGCTTTAAAATTGATCATTCAATTAAAATGTTTGTTGTCCAACTAATCTTGCACTCCTGCTGGATTGTTCTCCAGTCAAATACCTCTCTTATTTCATTTTGTTTATATTTAACATTGTTAACATTTGCTGTATATGGAATACACTCTTAGCATTATATTCTTTTGGGGTTTCACCTATTGCACCCATTGTTTAAACATCCTAGCTCCGTCTTAGTGAAAAGTTTTCAATCAAAATTTAAAGTGAATATCTGAAATGTTTAATAATTGCTGCATTTCAACCACTGCTTTAAGCTCGACTTTGTCATTTTCCTATAAAATTGGTGGTGCTTTGCCAAGTCCAGAGGCATATTTAAAGTGCATAAAGTTCATAAACTCTTTTGGGCAAAGAGCTCTAAATGTCTTGTCTAGTGCACTTGAGATATAGAAATCTAATTAGTATCAGGATCTTGCCTTTTGTCTATAAGTTTAATACCTCAAAAGTCTTACACTCTGCCTACATGGGTCACCCTGGGATAATTTTTCCTCCTTTCTGACCTAAGTTAGGGACTTCCAATAATTTTGATTTCTTTTCTGTCAGGGCTTGATTGTACCTTCAGCTGTTTCACTTGCTGTTCCCCTTGCCCTAATGTCCATGACCAGGTATTTTCCTTGCATCACCAAAAGACAGTTGGAAGATTTAAATTTTGAAATGACATATTGACTTCATGAATAACTGATGAATACTGAGTGTCTTCCCTTTCGTTCAGTGAGGTTAATGGGAAGGGACAGGTTTCTCCCAATGTTTTGGCATCTGAACAGATGGCTCCACGGGGAAAACTTGTTTTGTCTCTGGGAATTGGAGCTTTGATCTTTGTTCCAGTGTTCAAGGCCCTAACGGGTTTGCCTCCTTACATGGGCATGCTGCTTGGATTGGGAGTTCTTTGGATTATCACTGATGCTATTCATTACAGTGAATCAGACAGGCAAAAGTTAAAAGTTCCGCAAGCCTTATCCCGCATTGACACTCAGGGAGCTCTTTTCTTCCTTGGAATCCTTTTGTCAGTGAGCAGGTATATATGCAAGATAAAATTGCTCATCTTTTATCTTGTCTTAGAGTGGTGACTGTTTTGTTTAATTGACCATATTCTAGGTCCTTTTTTACAAAAGTTTCTAGTTCGAAGCTGTAACTATTCTCTTTTATAAGCCTTTCCATTCTCACTTCAGAAGGGATTTGGACCCTCTCTTTTGTTACTAGACTAGACTAGATGCTTTTACTTGCCCCTGTTTTTGATTGTTTATAAGAAAGTGACAGTGGTGTTTTCATCCATAAGCTGAATTATAGGGCTTGTTAATGAGTGCAGTACATTTTAGAGATTTGAGCGGTACCATCAAAACGGCTGTCCCTTGAGTATGTTTTAACCATCCATGTTGCATTACCTACTCTTCCCAAAAAGGACATGTTGGGTTCATTTGCATTAAAAATGTTAATCATCTTAAAATCACTTTCTCATATTGTATTCTGAGGCATTGCATTGAACACTAAGCCATATCAGTCATTGGCTCTGGTTAGCCATCAGTTCTGCAGTCTTTGACTTTAATTCACGCCTAAACATCTATCACTCCTGCAGTTTTGATCATTTCATGCTTGAGACCTAGGTAACAAATTTAGAGTTCATCAAAAAATAAATAGAGTTGATTCTTCAATTTTTAAATCTTGTCATTGCATTCTGAATATGATAAATTTGAGTTGTCCTTCCACAGCCTAGAAGCAGCGGGTATTCTCCAGGAGTTGGCAAACTACCTTGATGCTCACATTCCTAGTGTTGAACTGATTGCTAGTGCAATAGGACTCGTATCAGCCATCATAGACAATGTTCCCCTGGTTGCAGCAACAATGGGGATGTATGATCTCTCCTCAATGCCCCAAGATTCTGAGTTTTGGCAGCTTGTCGCGTATTGTGCTGGCACTGGTGGATCCATGCTAGTTATTGGGTCTGCAGCGGGTGTTGCATACATGGGAATGGAGAAGGTGGACTTCTTTTGGTACCTGCGGAAGGTAATTCCCAATCCTTGAAACATCTTTTGGACAAAACGCTAATTTGAATGTGGTCCATATAATGAAATTGTTCTCCTGGCGCAGGTGAGTGGTTTTGCTTTCGCAGGTTTTGCCGCTGGAATTGCTGCCTACTTAGCAGTTAGTCACCTCCATATCTCCTTACCCTCAACAATAGCAAAGCACCCATTCCTTCCTGGTTTGTAAATCTTAGCAGCTTCAAGATTTTGATTACTTTTGTCTGGGTACGTGCATTTATATCAATTGGAGTAAGATACAGGGATATCCAATTATAATGTAAATTTTGGTGCAGAAGAAAGATGTATTAACTTGTTAAGCCTGAATGAATAGGTTTAATTGCCTCAACCTCTATTAAAGATATGGGATAAACAAAAGGTGTAATGTTGTGATATCATTGCTGTATCAGAAACGACTTAGGATCTACTTACAATTTTTACACATTAATTATACAAAATTTTAATTATTTATTTCTCTCTTATAAATTGTGGTGACTTATCATCATTTTCTAGGAGAAATAGGTGATTATTTTTTAAAAAATAGGAAAAAAGATGGATACATTTTAACTATTTATAGTGGAATAATAAATAATTAAAATTTTATTTAAGTGGATTTAGTTCATGAGAAACGTGTACATACACCATGTAAGTGCAGTGGTAGCACCAAAATTCCTGATTACAATAGGAATAGGAATTGGACAGGATAGTAATTAGAGAACTTATGTCTAATAATAAATATTATTTTGGAATTAACTTACAGTATTTTTAAGTTAATTTTTACATATTCTGATATTAATTTTTTTTTTAAGTGATCTTAAGAATGTACTTTTTACATTAGATTAATTTATTTAAAAAAATTAATTTTTTTAAATAGTGATTACTTCAAAATCTTTCCAAACCAAATAATTTAATATATAGTAATTTAATATTAGATTATTATTATTATTATTACTATATGTCCTTAACAACCTCAAGCCTCATAAGAAAGTTTGATCAGAAAAATAACATTTGCTTGTAATCCAAGAACATTCTCGTTCTATCAAGATTGGACGCAAAATAAATTTGAAGAGAGAGACAAGTGCGTCTAATTTGCCTTCTACGAGAATTCAGAAGCCAAAGGGCATTGGTGGTGTTTGGTATTTGGGAAAGTTTCACCCCCACCTCATCCAGCAAGATTGGAGTAAATTGTCATCTACATGGTACACACTATTTTTCTTCTTTTATAAGATGGCAAATTTTCCTATTTTTAGGATTTTAGAAAGGGCATTGGGAAGGGGGGTTCCGGGGGTTCGAACTCAGCGTTCAACGGTAACCACCCTCGACCGCAACTGGAATTGTCTCTTGACCTTGGAGTGTGGGGTGTTTTACAAACAAAGCGTTGACATTTTGGCTTCATTTTTGCCCTTCACACGATTTCCAACCACAATTTCCAAACATAGGAAGGTTGACTATTCTGCTTTACCAAAAAAAAAAAAAGGTTGACTTTTCCGACAATGTTTCCTTGCAATATCGCAGGAGTTACTTTCCCAACAACTATTGCATTTCAACATCCCGGAAAAAAGGCCTTACATATAGATTGAAATTGAGGCAGTTTGAAATGAAAAATCCTTAAATCAATTGGACAGTAATTCACAAGGACTTTTGGAAAATTGATGAGATCAATTGATAGGATAGGTTGAAAAACTCGTAAATTATTTATTCCCTTTCCTTCCCTAAAGCTCCCAGGCAGCGGTCAAATGAATATTACAAAACTGGGGGATACAATACGATGACAATACATATTCAAATAGGTAAATGACATGGTAATGATAAAGCCACCTACAACTTGAGGAAAACAAACTCTTCAATGGCTGGAATATCACCAATCCTCTTCAGAGCTTGCTTGCTCGGTGGCTCATCCACTCCTATGGCCATCACAGCTTGCTTCCTAGGAGCGATCCTCCCAACAGTCATGAAGCTAACATTAACATTCTCCTCTCCCAAAGCGTTTCCTACCTTCCCAATCATACCAGGTTGATCAACCTGTCTGCAGAGTATAATACTACCTTCCAAGCTGACATCCACCTCAAACGATCCAACCTTGCTCAGATATGGAACTCCATCCTTCACCCGTCCCTCAACCTTGATCTCCCCAGAGTCTGACAAGGCACTAGCAAATTTTGACTCTACATTAGCAATCTGAACTTGGATGGACTCAAGTGGATTCTCAGGTGAACCATCAAGGATGATTCGTTCTTCTGTTATCCTTAGTCCTCTCTGTTTAGCAGTATAATCGGCATTGACCAAGTTCACAAAAACACTGGATATGGGCTCAATCAGACCCTTTGTGATCATTGCACGAAGCAACCTTGTGTCAAGGTCATCAGGGGCTCTTGAGGAAGCATATGAAACTTTCACAGTCTTCACACCACTTCCTCCTGCTACCAATTGGACAGCCAGCCTTCCAAGTTTCTCAGCAAGTTCAACAAATGGCTTCAGCTCTGTTAGAACCTGCAATTGTAAAGCATAATACAAAGCTATAATTAGCACAAAGAAACTGACAAATGTTGTTCCACCATCCAATTAGGATCTGCAATTTTTAAGCACAATAAAAAGACCACAATTATACAAAAACTGACATTTTTTTTTTGACCATCCAATTGCTTGATCAAGAGCAATCTAACAAATAAGATTCTAGCAAAAGACATTGAAAGCATTTGTATCAAAATCAGATTTGGAAAGCTCAAGAACAATATTTTGGTACCAATGACACTAAAATGAGCAGACATGGACCAAAGTTTTAAAGTTATGCATAAACAGATTTGTCAAGGCAAAGATTAACATGGCAACAAACAATGGGAGGCTGAATTGATCTACACTTCTATAAAAAATAAGGAAACCCCAGAAGAAAGAAAAATTGAAAAACTAGTGATTGTACCTCAGCAGGAACCATTGGTGCATTAACTGCTGTAGCAGCAAGCTCCCCATTCAAGGCTCCAACAACAGCTTCAGCAATTTCAATAGCCACTCCTTCCTGGGAAGGAAACCAACATTTTAGTTCACAATATTAGTCAAAGAAAGAAAGCAGGATGGTTGAATCTTGCACCATTCACCCACCTGAGCCTCCACGGTACTTGCACCAAGATGTGGAGTGACAGTAACCCTCTCATGCTGCACCAACTTACTGTCCGTTGGAGGTGGTTCCTCAGTGAAGACATCAAGTGCTGCCTGAGCCACAATTCCAGAATCCAGTGCCCTCACTAGAGCCTCTTCATCAATCACCCCCCCACGGGCTACATTTACAATGCGAACTCCTTTCTTCATCTTTGCAAAAGTTTCGTCATTAAGGACCTTTGATGTAGCTGGAGTGAGAGGCATGTGCAAAGAGATGAAATCTGCAGTGGATAAGGCTTCTTCAAAGCTGACAAGATCTACACCTATTGCACGGGCACGATCAGCAGGGGCATATGGATCATGGGCAACCACATGCATACCAAGTCCCTTGGCTCGTCGAGCAACTTCGGATCCAACCTTTCCAAATCCCATCACAGCAAGTGTCTTACCAACAAGGGACACACCAACATATTTGTTCCGCTGCCACTTCCCTGTATTGTCAATAATGGTTACAAGTCAGATCCTTTAGGAAAACAAGTACCCATCATAATCCTCCTAATCATGAATTGTAATTATTGTAAATGCATTTACCATAGACAAACCAAAGTTAAACAAAGGGAGAAACAATGAATTCAGAGAGAACTAATAAGCAAAATGGGATATTTAACGCTAATACATGAACTAAAGCTTAATTCAAACTTCATTAAAAAGGAATCCACCAACCAAATTATCAAATTTTAAGTTTATGAATCCTCTTAAATGAATTTCAGCATCCAAGCAAACGGAATTTAGAGCATCCAGATCCGAACAACAAATTGATTTTTGCTATACCATTTTCCTATTCCCTTAACTGTTTTGTTGTCAATAAAGGAAAACTCACCCGCCAACTTTACAGAGTTAAAGAATCATTTAGAATCCAGATCTACGCAAGCCTTAAAGAAAAGGACACTGGTCATAATACCAGGCATCACTTACCAGCCTTTATTGAAGCATCAGCCTGGGCCACGTTCCTGGCCATGGCAGCCAAGAGCGCGATCCCGTGCTCAGCAGCCGCAACCGTATTGGCGGTGGGAGCATTGACCACCAAGCAACCAAACTCGGTAGCAGCCGCTAGATCCACATTGTCAATCCCCACACCAGCTCTTCCAACGACCTTGAGCCTTCCTTTAGACGCTTCGAACACCTCACGAGTGACCTTGGTGCCGCTCCTCACGATCAAGGCATCACAGAGCGAGATCTTGGCACAGAGCTCCTCCGGGGAGAGGTTGTACTCGCATACGACGTTAGCGAGTTTACTGAGAAGAGCAATACCAGCTTGTCCTAGTTTTTCGGCGACGAGTACTGTCGGTTTGTTGGAGGCGGCGATCCCAGCTTCTCCAGGTCTTTCGTCAACGAGAACTGCCGATTTGTTGGAGGCGGCGACAGTGATGAGCCGTCGGTGGGGCGCTGCCGCGGGGGAGAAACGGAGATTGGTGGAGGAGGAAAATGCGGAGGGGAGACGGGCTCTGGAAGAGAGAGAAATGGAAGGGTTTTGAACGGTTACGGTTCGGAGAGAAGTCATCTCGGCGTTGGATTTTGGCTTTGGAAAAATGGAAATGCAGCGAAGAAATGGGGGAGGAAAGCGGGAATTTATAGCTGGGGGTTTTGGTGAGTGGGACGATGTGCACGCGCGTATTTTGTGATGCGGGAAAAGTGAAGCGTGGTAGTACGCTGCAGGGGTGAGAGTGGAAATGATATTTCTTTTCTTTAAAGAGGAAGTAGTAGTGAAAAAGCGGTAGAGCCTCTGGACTTCATAGGCAGTGGCAGATAAGCCCCTCAAAAATTTTACTTGCGATTTTATGAAAAATGATTACTTTATTCATTCAAAAATAATAGTTTTAATTTAAATCTTTGCTTTTTAAAATAAAAGTTTTAAATAAAAATTTAACATTACATCTAAATAACAATTGAAAATTTTTTTGATTAAATAAAACTATTTAATAAAAATTATGATCAAACTAAATAGAATACTGATTATTTCAATTCAAAAAGTTGCATTAGTTAATTGGTTTTAAATTAGCCAATTAGTTTTGAAGCTTTTAGCTAGTATCACATTAAAGGTTAAATTTCAAGAGTTTAAAACAAGCAGTTAAAGGTGAAAAGTGCTTTCTTAATTTATATATACATGGGTAGAATCCACTTACACAGAAATTTTACATACCACACTTATATAAAATTTTAATAATTTATTTTTCAATCACCATCCTTGAAATTCCCTAATATTGTCTTGATTTTTACTCAAAACCAATAAATTTATATACACATCCAAAAGGCTAAGAATTGGAAATGAAATGAATTGAAATAAATGGAGAAAAGCAAAAGTAAAAGAAAGATGATAAGAAAGAGAGAGAGAGAAGGATTAGAGTCAAAGAGGTGCCCTCACAATTCAAGGCATCAGTTTGGGGCCATACTACTATCAAACTTAACTACAAATGGAATCACCTCATGTGGCATATTTTCTCTGGTATGTTGACCAGCCCCATCTTTAAAAGTGGGACCTTTTTTTTTTTTATTTTTGGTTCATCCTTAGGGTTCAAGAGGCTTGTTTGCCTTAAAATAGTTTTGGAGTTTATATGAAAAAATAATGTTAGTTCAATGACTTAAAAGGTATTTGCCTAAAAATTATGTGGGTTGGTGGGGGAGAAGACTCTACTCGCCTATGATTCCGGTGTGGAAAAATGCTGGCTTTTCGATTCTCGCAAGTGAATATGCTAGTGATCCTACACCCCAAAGAGGTCATGAGTCATGCAAATTGCAGAGGAGCTAAATCTAGTCATATCAAATACCAGTCCAAGTGGGACCCATGACCCACCGTTGGTTGGGCGGGGTTGGTAGGCGGTGTGAAAAGGTTTACGAAATAAAATTTTCCTTTAACAAGCTGCGCCACCCGAAGGTTAACAAAATAAAATTCTCCCCTTTTTTTTATTATTTTTTCTAGCGAGGTATCATGGGTTTTGGGCTCAGCCCAAAAAAGTGAACCAAGTGCAAATAAAATAAAAATAAACTTTTCCTTTAGTAAGCTGACTATTAGAAAATGCATCTTATTTACCCTTATCTTTATGATTATTTTTCTCCATTTTTTAAGGGAAAGCAATTAATTATTTTTCAACATTATTTTATTTTTTTTTACATTTTCTGTAGAGTGTTTCTTAGGAGTAATTAATTTTTATGTCCATCTGTTATAATTTCTCTTCTTATAATGTTGAGGGCACGCTCTTGTATTAACATAATATATTTAACAAAATTAATTTTTTAAATATTAACTTTGAAGTTTAAACATTAAATTTAATTTTGCCAATGAATTTAATCTTTAAATTAACGCTATTGCTCACTACAACTTCATACAAGGTAAGCTGGTCTGCCTATTTGTTTGGTGGCTCGTGTGTTTCTAAATTTTGATCTCTTAGCAGAGATATTTTCATGCAATAATTTACCCTTTTTTGGATTTGATTTGGTTGTTTTATTTTGTCTATTTACCTATTTTAGAAAATTTACTCTTCTTTTCATATTTAATAGTTTTAATTTGACTTTTTAACTTTTCAAATATAAATTTTAAATGAAAGTTTAATAATTGATATAAATAACAATTGAAATTCTTTATATATATATATGTAGTTCTTGTTGAATATTTTTATTTGATAACAAAATTTGAATTATTATTTATAGAGATTAGGGTGTATTGGTTTCAATTCTCAAAAAAATTAGAGTTTCAATTTATATTTAGAAATTAAAATTTCAATCCAAAATTTAGAAACTCATCCCATTAAATGTTAATATCTAAATTTGAAAATCGATTATATAGTTTAATATAATTAATTTTCAAATCAAAATATCAATATTTAATAAGATGAATTTTTAAATTTTAAATTAAATTTTAATTAAATAAAATAACTTAGTTTAAAATTAAGATTTTAATTTATTTGAGAAATCAAAACCGACATGCATTTTATTTATTTATATAATATTTTAAGTTTTCATTTAAAATTTATATTCAAAGAGTTAAAAAATAAAATAATACTATTAAAGTTTAGTGGAGGTAGTATTTATTATTATAATTAAGACTTTTTTTTTCACACTTTTACACTTATTCATGATTAAACCGAAAAAATATTAACTCATTTTTACCTCGAAATAAGGGTAAAATTAAAATACAAGCATTAATATGTTATTAAAATGTAAGGTGAGATAAATAAATCAAACCATTATTGGGAAATGATGCAGCATTTCAAATTATCAGAAGCAAGAAGCTCTGCTGAATTGTAACCTTGTTCAAAAAAAATAAATCAAACCATTATGAGTAAAGATAAAAATGAAAAGATAAACTTTAATTATTGTAATATATAAATTTTCTGTTAATAAATAAATAAACTTAAATGACTAAATATGACCCAAGATAGTATATTTTTCTTGAAAATAAAAAAATGTCCATACCGGGAGACAAGTATATCTTATATTATTTCACACCAGATATTTTGCTTTTAAGAAAAGTGAAATCAAGAAGTGCAGATTTAAATGTTAGGACTGTAGGTAAAATTCAAATAAAATTTGTATTTATGATTTTAAGTTGTATAATAAAACATAATTCTTTTTCATTTTGACTCGACTTATCTGTATATTATATAATTCAAATTCAAATTATTTTATTTTCAATAAAAATAAAAATATATTAAAAAAATATTTTACAAGTCGTCCTCTTAAAATTTTGTTTTTACAAAGATTTATCTAAAAACTCATTTTTTAATTGATGTTTTTAAAAACTAACCATTAGATTTTTTTTTTTATAGAAAATATAGTTGTATTAATAATTGAAAACAATTGCATTTCATACTATATCTTGCCATATAAGTTGGGTAAGAAATACAAATAAATTAGAGAAGACCTATGATGCTAACAAATAAAGCAAAATGTTCTTTACAAATCGGACAATTATGAACTAAGAACCTCTAAATACCAATATGCATCATAAAGATATCAATCTATATAACAACATAGAAAGATTAATCTGAAGCTTACTATCGCTATTGGTAATCACATATATTTTATCAACCAATCCTAGCACGGAAGATCAAAGGACTAGGTGATGCAGTGTCTCCTAACACTATAATACTCGGTCCAAACTCAAGCAATCTCTTAACCAATAGATGAATGAGAGGTATCCACTGGCACGGCAAGTGCAGTGCCCGAACCATCTAATCTTGTTTTGGATGCCCTACCATCACCAAGCACTTCAGGGATGGACTTCCTCTTACCCCTCCTTTCCATCTTTTTACTCAGTGATTGAATTAGATTCCTTCCAAGCGTTTTCCATTTCTTCCACAAACCATAACCCTCTTTCTTTACCAACTTTACAATTTTTTTGATAGGCAAATCTCCTAGCAGAGAATCTGAGGCCTGCTGCTCTAAGGAAGCCCCTGTCACAACTACCTCCTCCTTCTCTCAACTGCCATTCAGTTTTTTATCTTGTTCTTTAGCCAATGATTGATTCACATTAAAAAGTTGATTTTTAGTTGCTCCATTGTTCTTAACCTCCTTCACACCAATAGTCGACTTTTGGAGAAAAATTTTTATGACCATGACCAGCATAATTATTTCTCACCAGAGATGTCAACAACTTGCTATCTAAGACAACTAAATCTTCAAACTCCTCAGGCCCCCAATAGTTCTCAAATTTTGCTCTTAACCAAGAGCTATAAGGCTTAGTGACCATCTCCCTTACCTCCTTGAGTTTGAAACCAATTTCATGATCAATTTCCACATGTCCCATACATCCACATATATAGCAAAAGTCTGGTAGTCTCTCATAATTAATCTTCAGCTTCCCAACTTTAGTCTTTAAGACTCTA